CTAGTTCCATATCCTCTTCTGAGTCTGGCTTCAATTTCTGGGAGTTCTGTCAAGGAACTGTTGCAGCTGTTTTTTATTTATCTTCAGTAAAATATTTCTTGCATGTGATATCAATGATATTGTTCAATGATTTGTTATACTGTTTCAATTCTCACAAACATAATTCTTACTGATTATTCTTATTCATATCAATCACTACCGCCAAAAGTCCAAACGAGAAAAAACAACAGAAAATGTCAATTGCCAGAAAGAAATAAGACAACTTTAAATAAAGATACAATGAAGTTACTGTTGGATCACCTGTCTTTGGAACGGGCACAGGTATGGTTATCTTCCAATCAGTTGACCAGGGAACTGTCTTACAAATACCTGAGATACTTAGAAGTATAGTGGAGTGGATGGAAGATAATCATGATAGAACTATGTACCTTAAAAGAAGTTAATAATTAATATAAACTTAACATGAATAAAAAGATGATATAGAGAGAGAACAAGCAAACCAGCCAATCTGAGAAAATAATAGGAAAAAAACACTAAACAATAAAAATATATTTCAAGATGTGGGTGATCAGAGTTAGAGCATTCCATGAACCTTGGTTTGGGAAAACGCAAAGATATTAGACTTAGAGTTTGGTAAGGTAAAATGGTGGTTGGTGGTTATATGCTATGGAGTCGGTTCTGACCTTGCATAGGGTTTCTGAGGCTGTAAATTTTTATGAGAGCAGAAAGCTTCATCTTTCTCCTGAAGAACAGCTGGTAGTTTCAAGCATGTTAATTTCTGGCATAAGAACTAAAAGAATAAAACTACAAGATGTATCTTCTATATTAGGAAAATTTCTTTAAATGGAAAGGACAATGGATCAGATTATACATTCCCAAAAGCCAGAACATGTTTTATTCCTGTTATTCTTAGTTACTACGCTGGGTATTCCTGGCATTCAGAAGGAATTCAAACAATGCTTACTCGGTGAATAAACTGTAGTAGGGAAGTCCAAGCAACAGCCTAAGTTATATCCACTGCTGGGATACAGAAATGTCTGAATTTGTCAGGCAAAAGAATTGGACATAGGAACAGTACAGAAATCTTGGGAGAAAATTTACACTATAAGATCCTTTTTAAAAAAATTTAATCATCAGAAGGGATGATAGATTCTGAGGACAATATGGTACTTATTATTCAATTTTGTTTCCCACGAACTCATGTGTAAGGAATAGCAGAAAATAAACACAAAAAGGAGTTATATTACCATAAATGGATTTACTAGCTAACACTTCATAAATATTGCCTTCAGCCTAATGTTACTGCTCTCATTTACACTGTGAATGTCTTATAAATCCTTCATACAGAGAGAAGAATGAAGACGAGAGCCCAGGATAAAATGGATAATCCTGGGTCACATTCTTTTTATTTAACTAACATCTTACCTATTTTATAATTGTATAGTTTAGTACTTAGATACAGGTGTTTTTTACTAAGCATATCTCATCTAACCCTCCCAATTAGTAGGTGCATGATCTTGAATCCGTGATTTATCCTCTCTGATTTTATTTGGATTTTTCACAAATAAAACAAGTATCACAATAGTAACTATACAGTGAGTTGCTGTGAAAATTGGATGAGATAATATATGTAAATCAGGTAGCACAGGATCTGGCTTATAAAAAAGCAATAGCTTTCAGATACAAGTAGGATAGTACAAAATATAGTACTTCATGGATTTTTTTTCATGACTTTTCCTTTTATAACAGCATATCCTAGTTTTATTTATCAGAATATTTCATACTCAAGGACTATATTAAAAATATTACTACTTTTTTACTTACTGGACAATATCATACTGGCCAGGACCAGGCCCTGGTTTTGGAGCTAACGCTCGTCTTCCCAAGGAATTGCCAAAGTGTATCCCTTTGTATTTCAAAGTTGCATTGAAAACATCCTAAAATAAAAAGGGAGGATGAGACAGAATTAAAACTGATTGTAAAGAAATGTTTAATTTTTCTTAAGTCTAAATCTAAAGCACTAATTATGACTAAGCAAAGTCTTAGTCAAGGAGCTTGAAGATCCCAAGCTAATTATTACTGCCATGCTCCATTCCAGTTTGAGTCAGCCAAAATTCCCCAAGAAGTACATATAATTTTGTTTTGTCTCATCAGTATGAATATCTTTTTCATTGATAATACAAATTCATTAGTCTAAAACCTTAATAAACATCAAAAATAATAATTCTGTGACTAAAAAAACACAAACAAGAAGCTGTATGATTTAGAAATGCCTATTAAAACAACCTTAATTAAATAGATGAGAAAATACTATCATCATCAGATATCAGATAACTTCTAATTACCTGGTATATAAATATATATATGGACTCCTGGTGTGGTACTTCAGGATCAGCACCAGACTGTTAACCACAAGGTCAGCAGTTCAATCCACCAGCTGCTCCTCGGAAACACTGCCCTATCCTAGACCAACATCACAATCTTTGCTATGCTTGAGCCTATTGCGGCTGTCACTGTGCCAGCCCATCTCATTGAAGGTCTTCCTCTTTCTCCAACCCTCCACTTTACCAAGTGTGATGTCCTTCTTCAGGGATTGGTCCCTCCTGATAATAGATCCAAAGTATGAGAGACAAAATCTGGCTATTCCAACATCCAAGGAGCATTCTAGCTCTTGTTGTTGTTGTTAAGTACCGTGGAGTCGGTTCAGACTCATAGTGACCCTGCACAGGGTTTCTGAGGCTGCAAATCTTTGCGGGAGCAGAAAGCCTCATCTTTCTCACGTGGAACAGCTGCTAGCTTTGAACTGCCAAGCTTGAGGTTAGTAGCCCGATTTGTAACCACTACGCTAGCAGAGCTCCTTCAAAATAAATTCATAAATTAAGTATTTTATTGTTAATGCTGTCAAAGCTTGGGGCCAGATCAGTCCTTGAATGCCAAAGGCATTGTTTGTGACAAGATTTCAATAATCATTTTTCCTTCACATCCACTATAATAAAATGTTAAAATTGAGTATTGTTGTTGGTAAGTGCCTTGAAGTAGGTTTCTAATCATAGCAACCCTATATAAGGTTCCAAGACTCTAAGTTTCTTGCACAAGCAGAAAACTCATCTTTCTTCCATGGAGCAACTGGTGGGCTCAAACTGACAACTTTGTGGTTCTCAGTCCAAAGTACTTTATTTCATCAGAAACTAAAAAAAGTAAACAGCATGGAACAGTAGTTTCTATTCCAAGAATTATCTTCTATTAACCAACTACATTCTATATTGAGTCATCATTTAAGATTTTTTTAAACCATTCTTTAAAGTAATATTAAAGATTGTTGTTGTTGTTGTTAAGTGTCGTCGAGTTGGTTCCAACCCATAGCGACCCTGAACAGGGTTTCCAGATATTAAAGATAAACTCTAGTATATTTAGCATACATTTTATTTTCATTTATAAAGTTTTTAAACAAGCTTTTATAATTAAAAGTACACATACACATACATGTATGTATGTTGTTGTTGTTAAGTGCCGTCAAATTGGTTTTGACCCTAGCGACCCTGTATAGGGTTTCCAAGGAGTGGCTGGTGAGCTTGAACCACCAAACTTGTAGTTCAAATCAACTTTGCAGTCCAGCACATTAACCCACACCACCACACCAGGACTCCATATATGTATGTATGTACCTGTCACGTGGAAACACTCAAGCTGATGTATCTTGCTGTTGATACCGTATTTGAAGAGTTGTTCAAATTCATCATTCAGAGCCTGAACCTGATGCACTTGAACCTGACCTGTATAACTATTTTCCTGAAGATGCTCTCACTTCTGCTTGACATCTTGACCAATCCATTATCCTGTTTGTGACACTGCAGGATAATGCACTGGACTGCAAGGTCAGTTTGAGTCTCAAGGTCAGTGATTGAAACCCACCAGTAGCTCCTCAGAAACACTATATAGGGTCACTATGAGTCAGAACCGATTCAACAGTAGTTACCAACAACAACATACATATATACTTATATATAAATCTATATATCCACCACTCATCTGTCAGTTTGTCGTACTGTGGTGGCTTGTGAGTTGCTGTGATTCTGGAACCTATGCCACCAGTATTTTAAATACCAGCAGGGTCACCCATAGTGAACAGGTTTCAGATGAGCTTCCAGATGAAGACAGACTAGGAAGAAGGAGTGACAACTACTTCCAAATATTTAGTCACTGAAAATCTTAAGAATAGCAGAGAAACACTGTCAGATATAGTCCCAGAAAATGAGCCCTTCAGATTGGAAGGCACTCAAACTGCGACTGGGGAAGAGCTGCCTCCTCAAAGCAGAGTTGACCCTGATAATGAGAATGGAGTAAAGCCCGTGGGAGAAAAGCCTGCATGACCTTCATTTGCTGATGGGGCACAACTCAAAATGAAGAGAAATAGCTGTAAACATGCATTAATAAATAGGAACATGGAATATGGTTGGCTGGCTCTGTGCCGTGGAGTCTGTTCCCACTCATAGCGACCCTGTACAGGGTTTCCAAGGCTGTAAATCTTTACAGGAGCAGAACGCCTCATCTTTCTACTGCAGAACAGCTGGTAGTCTCGAACTGCTGACCTTGTGGTTCGCAGCCCTATTCGTAACCACTACGCCACCGGAGCTCCTTCAGACACTTACTATCTAAGTTAAAAGTTGGCAGGCTTACAAAATGTGCCCGTTGGTTGTTTAAACAATTATATATTCATGTGTGTTTTTGTGTACATTAAAACACACACACAGAGGAAATAAAAGTAAATACTGTTGAATAATGATTCATGGTGGGGACTGTAATCATTGCAGTGAAAGAAAATGTGATAGGTTGAGTACAAAACCTATGCTCTACCATGTAAACTATCAATCAATTCACAATAAAAGCATTAAAACAAACAAACAGACATTAACCACCAATCACCATTCATTCAATGAACAACAAGCAGAGAGCTTGACATCATTTAAAATTTAATAAGGTTTAAAATGTTAAACAAAATGATTTCTCTGAGTGTTCAAGTTTGGGGAATAATTTTTTCCTAACACTGATTAAAATGTAGTAATTATGCACTATAGAAGAAAAAAAAATACTGTTAATCATAATGACATGAATGGAGCAAAGTCTGGGGATATTCATTTGCTGATAGGGCACAACTCAAAATGAGGAGAAACTGTTGCAAATATCCATTAATAATTGGAACATGTAATGCATGAAATACGCATCTAGAAAACTGGAAGTTTTCAAAAATCAAATGAAACACAAGAAGATCAATATCCTATATGTTAGTGAGCTGGAATGGACTGGTATTAGTCATTTTTATATGATATGGTGGAAATAACAAATTCAAGAGGAACGGTGTCACATTCATATTCAAAAAGAACGTTTCAAGATCTACTTTAAAGTACAGTGGTGTCTGTAATAGGATAATATGAATACACCCACATGGAAAACCAATTAATATCATTGTTATTCAAATTTGTTCATCAACCACTAAAGACAGCGATTATGAATTTAAGAATTCTACCAACTTCTTGAGTCTGAAATTAATCAAGCATGCAATCAAGATGCAGTGATCATTACTGGAGATTGGAAGGATGGAGAGACTTCGTCTCTCATACTTTAGACATGTTATCAGGACATCATACTTGGTAAAATATAAGGTCCATAAAAGAGATAAAACCCCCAAGAATATGGATTGACACCGTGGCAGCAGCAATGGGTTCAAATGTAATAATTGTGAGGACAGTACCAGACTGGGCAATGTTTCTTTCTGTTGTGCATAGGGTCGCTAAGAGTCTAAGGAACTACCTTAAGAACTGACTTAAGATTCCTAAGACTATCCCACAAATTTGGACTCAACTGTAATTTAAAAAAAAAAAACTCACCACACTGTCATAGAGTCAATTCCGAATCATAGTGATCCTATATACGGCTCCTGAGGCTATAAATCTTTATGGGAGCAGAAAGTCTCATCTTTCTCCCTTGGATCAGTGGTGGGTTTGAACTGCCAATCTTACAGTTAGCATTCCAGTGCTTAAATAGGGCAGACTACACAAAGGCTGTATATCTGAAAAAGCAGACACAAATGCTATATTACCTAGCAAAACAGCTTTAAAAATACAGCCTGCCATGCCTATCAGAGCAACAGATGCTACATGATGCTACTGAGGAAACAATATCATGCACTGTTGTTGTTTGGTGCTGTCAAGTCGATTCCGACTCATAGCAACCTATGCACACTAGAAGGAAACACATCCTCACAATTGTTGTTACGCTTGAGTCCATTGGTGCTGCCACTGTGTCAATCCATCTCACTAGGGGTATCCCTCTGTTTCACTAACTCTCCACTTTACCCAGCATGATTTTTCTATAGGATCTGTGGCAATTCCAGAGAAGTCTGTAAAACAACAGAAACTCAGAAAAGATAGTACCTAGGAAACCAACATATTCTTCTGCTAAACAGTTTTATCCCACCTTTCAAAACGAATTACCTCAGAGTTTCATTTATTTTTAACACACATATAGTATTGATAGGGAAAAAAAATAGCCCATTTCCCATATTTTTTAACTCTTTTTAACTTAGAAATAAAGCAGAATTCACAAATGTGCTGATTTGTTCTACAATCATAATAGGCATAATACAGTTTTAATATAATATAGCTATGTTGGACATATTAAATATTTTATATATTTGACTAAGGAACATATTTAATATACTGATTCACTATGGCCTACAAATTTTTCCAAAGATCAGTATTTTAAAACATATTTTAATAAAATTATCTTTTACATCAGATTTTTATAGCCTAAAAGAGCACTGTGTTAAAGTTTAATGTTAATTCTTTTAACATAGCAATTTAAGATCTTGCTCAAAATTATGTACAAAAAGATTTCTTCAGGTAAATTTATATTACTGAGACTTTGGCTCAACTTTTTA